TAAACCTGTTCACCTTTGCACAATTTATTGTGTTTAATTGTATGAATATTTTTGGTAAAGAGGAGATTTCAGTTTAAAATGTTTAATAAATCAGCATAATTACAGAAAGATATGTTTTTTGGTTCAATAGATATTCAGTATTCAGTGTGGAAACTATATCAATTTACAGTACAATCTGCATCACAATAAAGTGTGCAGTAAAGTGGTCTGAATACTTTGTGACACCGCATCTTACATAGATGCATGGCCAGAATAAACACTATAAAGTTGGTGGGCACCTATTGACCACCTGATTAAAGCAGTTTGGTTAAACTATAGTGTATCTAAGTACCATGTCTTTGCACAGGGCTCAAATACAACACAGACAGAAGAATCTGACTCATCATTTCAATTTATCATTTCAGCAGTAAATCAGGGGCCTCATTCATAACTGCTTTGCACTATAACCAGACAGATACGAGAAGGTGACCCTATGAGTGGGAGGCATTTGCCCTCTTTTGTTATCCAGCCCTGCATGCTAACTCTACAATCTGAGAAGATTACTAATGTTCAAGCTGGTTCATGTCAGAGTTAAGGTTCACATCATCAAGACATCTGTATACCTGAGTGTGGCCACACTGTAGAAGCTGGGACTGATGAGGGTCCGTCAGGATGAAGAATCCTACTGCTGGGAAGTCCAATTTCCCAGCATCCCGTGCCTCCATCAGGAACCCCCTGAAGAACGTGGGGTCAGAAGAAGCCACTTGCAAAGAAACTGAAGTAGAGGAAAGAAATGAGGAGAAATCTATTGCAGTATTGTGTCAAATGAAAGTTGGACAGTTTACATTACCTGTGATGTTTTCACCAGGACTGAATGTGGATTTGTCCACACTGACCATGTATGGAGGAGGCTCTGGTCTGGGCTCGTGGCCGTGCTGAGGTGTCATGTCTCCGCAGGCTACACCCACCTTCCCGTTACTGAACCCCCCAACTGAGTCCACACACCAGGTCAGTGCTGCGAAAGTGAAGTATAGACGCAACATGCTGTTGCATATGCCTGCAGTAAAAAGAGAGGAAACACAGAGTAGTCATTTGTGTCACCTTTAATCACCTTTAATGAGGTGAGGGGTATTCAGCTGCAACATGTAACTTAACCATTAGATGTCACTAAATTCCACACACTAAGACTGTTTGACTCACCTATTTATTAGTGAACAGTCTTAAGCCTAAATGTGGGTTGAGGATTCTCAACACATCTTAATGCTGCTCATATTAAAAAGCTTCAGTGGTTGACAGTGGGAAAAGGAAGCAGTAACTGTTGAAAAAATATATATATGGCAAAAAAAAATGGATGGTGACAAAATACTTAATAATTATCTCTCACTGCAAGACATAGTTTTGCAAATTTCAGTCCGTTTCAATTCAATAGCCTTATCTAAAAGAAATAAATGTCACTATAGTGCAGAAGTACAGTGGAATAATCTGCACATACATTTGAAGTTGAGTGTTTCACAGTTATACATGGTTACAGAGTAAAAGCACATTTAATTTACAATATCAAACCTTTAGAACTCAAACAAACCATTAGAACGTTGACTTTGCTGCCCGCTATTTATTTTTTATTACAATGTGCAAAACAAGGCATGTGGAAACAACCCTTCGAGCTTTATTGTGTTTTAATCTCTGAGGAATTTGAGTGTGTGTAGTGACTGCAGTGCAGTGTTATATGCATTTCCAATTATCAAATTATTTTAATTAAATTAATAATTTGGAACAACTGTGGAATAGATGGAACATATTTAGGTTATTCAATTATAGCTGACAATCCTAAATGAGAAAAAAACAGTAACAGGGTCAAACAGAGGAAAGTGACACAATTTTGTATATAATTCAAAATGAAACCTACAGAGTTACAGTTTATATAGCACAATTACGATCAGTCACAATATTAAAACACACTGTATAGCAAAGGAGAAAAGCTCTCGAGTAGTACACCACAAGAATAAAGAAGTCAGTGAGGTGCTACAACATGCAGCTGATTCATTGGCTGAAATTATCTATGTACAGACAGCAGGGGCACAGTCATCACCTCCACAGTATAATCATCCTGCTGCAGATCAGACTGACTTTAACAGGCTTACTGAGATAACAAAGTCAGGAGAAGTGTAGTTTCAGTTTGAGAAGAGACACGCAGCTTTGCAGAGTGACAGGTCATGAGGGGTCACCACAGAATAAGCCAAATAAAATAATCCACTTTTTTTTTTGGTTTTCTTACAAATAGAAAAAGAAAAGAGAAGTCAACAATGCAAAGTCAGCTTTCTGAATGTAGCAATACATTGATTTCAAAACTCAGGTCATATTGGCAAATAAGACAGACCTTGAATCCAATGGCTGTATGGTTAAATTTCTTTGAGAAAAAAGATTGAATACAGTTCTATTCCAGCATCTCATTCTCATCCTTTATTTCTAACTGTGCTGAGAAAGAATAAGATGTCTCCTGTAGACACAAGTAAACTTTTTAATTGATAAAAATGCTTCATTCAACATTTCATCTGTCCCAGCGCTGAGACATTTCAAAGTCAATTATCCGAAAGTGTTCAGACTTACCTCCCCCTGTGTTGTCAGTGTCTGCAGTGCAACTCCACCCTGTACATAGAAAGTAGTCCTGTTGGCCCTCAGAGGGCAGGGCCTCTGCTGCCTTCACATCTTGTAGAAGAAAATCGTACATGTGAGTACTCTACTATGACACATAGAATTTTTAGATTGGAGCATAATAAAACCTGCTACATCCAAATAATTCTGGAAAGTCATGTCTGTAATGAGTTTACTGCTGTATTCATCAAACGTTGGCAGTGAAACACCATTATTGTAAAAGATTCAAGCGCTTCAATTTCGTCCATATCTCCACATTAGAATTCATGTTTTTCTTCCAAACTTAACCATCCCTCATTTCAAGTATGTTGATATGAAAAACTATTTGGAAACAGCAACTACCAACTAAATTTTCTAACAGAAGATTAAGACTTGGTTTTATAACAGCTGGATAAATAGGGGATGTGTTATTTTATTCAGCCGGATGAATTCTAATGAGACAAAATTAAATATATATTATCTTTACTTTAAGTTGTGTTGCTCTGAATGAAATAGCCACTAAACTTAATTATAATGTTTTCATATGTCTTGATTTCACTAATACATGGCTTATTTTTCCAAGTTCAGTTTTCATCCATTATCCACAATTATTAAGTTGTTCCCAGAGCACATTACCCACAAAGGGTAATGGAATCTATTCGAGCCACACGGCTTCTAGCAGACTGAATTCAGGAATGCCTTAAATAAAAACAAACAAAAAGGCCTAGATAACCGGTAATTGACTTTTTGACTGTTTGACTAAATAAAATTCAGACAAAGAGAAATACATTAGAAAAATGGGCGAAAATATGTCATATATCTGTTGTATTCAACCAAAAAATGGATGGGTCTTTCTTTGTTAGATTCAATTGTTTGTAGTACTTGCAAACCACCAGCAAGCGGAGGCATTGCTGCTTGGATGCCTTGGAGTCACTGATTAGAAGTAAACCTGCTTATTTTTTAAATGATCCAGTCACTCCAGTGATCCAGAGCTTCACTATGTAGCAGCAGAGAAATGCATGTACAGGTCGGAAGCTTCACCTAACTGATTTTCACACACACTAGTCTTATTAAGAAAAGTGTGGGTAAAAAACACAAAAACATCCAGTGAGCAGCAGTTGGAAACACTGTTAATGGGAGAGGTCAGGAGACAATGACCAGACTTCTTTGAAAAGATTAAAGTAACTCAGATAACCACTGGTTACAACTGTGATGATAAGCCTTTCAGAATGAACTAGAGGCCCAACCTACAGCTGAACTCACCAGCACTGGACAACTGAGGACTAAAAAAATGGAGCCTGAGCTCCCCTGTGGTAGTTAGCAAGACAATAATCAAAGTTACACCGTCATGTGTCATCTTTCACCTCTTGAATACCATACACAAAGAATGATATGTGGAGAGTCATAATAATACAGTGCTGCCATCATGTGGCAAAGAGCATCATTTACACCACTCTCACTGCTATGAGTCACCATCTGTTGTTGCCGTTTCCATGGCAACGATCTCCTGTTACCTGGTGCAGGTGAGAACCAGCTAAGGCAAACAACAGAGCAGAGGAGCCGCAGAGACGACAACAGAACAAACATGACCAGTCTCTTCTCCAGGTAGGAGTTTGTACTTGTATGTTTCAAATGATCCGATGAGACCATCACATTGGATATGAAACGGGTGGGGAGCTTTGGTCCGAATGGCAACAGTTAGTTTTCTCTCATGCAAACGCCACTAAATTGTTTTTTTTCATACTGATTTCCCGAAGCCGGGACATCCAGGTGAAGAGCATGGAGCAGACAGTGAAACATGCTGAGAAGTACCTGGGTGAGATCTGCTACCTGCTGGGCTCCTACACCAGGAAGACAGCCAAGCTCAGAGACAAGGCCGACCTGCTGGTGGCTCAGCTGTACGACTTCTCCAGCACAGAGGGCCCAGAGCTCCAGATCGGCCTGAAAAACCTGGCAGAAGATTTAGCCATGGTCCAGGACTACAGGCAAGCTCAGGTCAGGAACACTGCAGTTATCCATGCATCAGTGTTATATTTCATCAAACTCTTTAACATAATGTTTCCTTTGTAATAAATATTTTATCATCGAAGGTGGAGAGACTGGAGACAAGAGTTCTTGCTCCTCTGAAAGCATATGGAGACATAGTGAAAATTAAAAGGGTGAGTTTGGAGACTTTCCCTTTTCCAACAGCGATTTTGGGACTATGTATAGCAATATCATGATTGGAAAGTTATACTTACAACACTCAATACAGAAATAATACAATTAAAAAAGGGAAATACTTCGGCAGAATACAAACCTCATTTGTGTAGCTTGCGTACCAATCACATGCTTGATACCTCCCGAGGCTCTTAGAAGTATAGTCAAAAGCCACTGACCGTATTTTTAATTTGTCTTATTATAAGCCTTTTAATAAAATTAATATAGATTTTGTATTATATTTAGATTTAAAATCTCATGTGACCTGGTTTGAGTATGGTTAATTCAAGTAAATCAACCTGCTTTAAGTAAATAAGTTTTACCTTTGACCAATGTTTCGCTAATTAAAAGTAAAAAAATTAAATAACGGGCTGATCAAACTTGCAGATCTGACAGTTAGGTCAGAAACATGCACTTCTGTAGTCTGCTGGAGGTCATGTTGTAGAGCTCTGGCAGTGCTCCTCCTGTTCCTCCTCGCTGCCCTTCTACAGCCCTGTCCAGCTCTCCTTGTGTAACAGTCGATCTCCTGGTATCTCCTCCACGCTCTTGAGACTGTGCTGGGAGACACAGCAAACCTTCTTGTGACTGCACGTATGGTTGGCCTTCCTGGAGGAGCTGGACTACCTGTGCAACCTGATTGGGCTGCAGGTACCGCCTCATGCTACCAGTAGTGACAAGGACACAAGCAGAACACAACACTAGAGAAGAATCAGTCAGGAAGGATAAAGAGAGAGCAGCTGTCATGTAAAACCACTTTTGAGGGTTGTCTTGATTTTGCCTCTCCGTTGCACCTGTTGTCACTTTCATTTGCACCAAAGCAGGTGAAACTGATTCATTATCAGAATCTGAAATCTTTTATTGTCATTGTAACAATGTGGCATTGTACACAAAATTAAGGTGCAGTCCTTTCAGTGCAGGTAAAAAAGTGAACATAAATAGATAAAACGTCTGTAAGAAAAAAAAAAAAAAGTAAAGTATTTAAATACACTATGCTATAAAAAGGAATGAGAAAAACCTAAACTAATAGCAATCATACATTCATACAGTCGTCCAGTCATACATTTATCAAAAATATTGCACATGATGTATTGCATTATCACTTGTGCTTCCTAAATGAAGTTTAAATGGCTTGGTGTTATACTGTGACGATTAAGTATTCCCTTAATTATTTTGAGCAGTGCACTTTGACAGCTAGGGTGTGTTTGGAAATTCAAGATAATCTCCTTTCCTAACCATTATTCCTTGACACCGATTGAATAGGTCACAAGGTCAAGGAAAGATGTGAAGGAGAAGCCTTAAGGAGTTAGGAGAACATCCGACTCCACTTACACTCAACCTTTTTGTTTTGGTTAAAACAACTTTATGTATATGCTGGAAATGCACTGTACTCTGTGCGCTGCAGCTATAATAAAGTTTCCTGTCCAAAACGGGAGGCACATCCTAAGAAAAGATGTTTTCATTTTATACAAAGGGAACATTTAATCCTACTCCCAGGAAGAAACAACAAAAGAGATTTAATCACTTGAAAATTTAAATAAAACCAAAAGGCCTGAAATGATGAAGTAATATGATAATGTGAGGAATATATACGTGGAGAAAAGCTTACATAGGTACAAAGGTTTTTGTGTGCATTCCACAATCTGGGGTTCATAATGACATATGTGTGTTTAGTTATGATGATGATATTTTGAAATGAACATATTAGTTCAATATATTTGTTGTTGACCTGGACAGATGACAGAGAAGAAATCAGGAGCTAGGATGATCATGTGAGGATTCAGTTCTGGATCATGCCATGACGATAATTTAACTGTCCTGTCTTTTATTTAAATGGATCTGTCCAGTTGCAAGTGCGAGGTTGTATGCTGCTGCAAAGAATTGTGGGGCGGCATTTTCTCTTTTCCTTTCACAAAGGTCCGATATTTCCAATGCTGAATGAGATAAGTTAGGAGGCACTGAAGCTCCTTTCCTTATCATTTAGACCAGTCAGATTCTAATTAAAAAAATTCATGTGACATGCCTTTCATAACTGCCACATATGTATTTTCAGCTCTGCCACTGGCCTGGCTAAGATTTGGTTCAGTTCAGTAATGTCCTCTGGTTTCAAAAGTTGAAATGGGATTTAAACAGTTGTCATAGTCATAGTAACAGACTGTGTAACCCTTTAATTTAACCTTTTTTTAAATTAATCTGTGTTTTTTCCCACAGATTTAGTTTCTATCATTGTACTAGCACTAAACTTCATGTTCTTTTTAAAGTGCTTATATAAATAAAGTTGACCTGCCTTGATGTGAGAGTTTTTTAGCACTACAGTGTGTTTTTCTGTTATTAATATGACCTCTACAGGTCCTTGTGAGACAAATTAAGTTTAGTAGGGCTCAGTCAAACAGTATATCAGCCTTTACTGCCTTCTCTGGCAATACACTCAATTCCAAAGTCCAGCCTTCCAAGTTTGATCAAACAATCTGTGATTTCTTATGGCCTTTGCTTTGTATGCCGTGTAAGGTGACACTGTATCTTCCATCCAGGCTGATCTGAAGAAGTTCAACACTGATCTGAACAGAGAGCTGAAGGAGCTGCAGAAGCTGGAGAAAATCCGTCTGAGGAACCCAGCAGATCGACAGAGCATTGTATCCTTCACATACCAATTTCAATAATTGGATTTATCACCATGGATTCATGCAACATTTATTTTATTGACTTACAACACCTCCATAATGTGATGAACAAATAACGGGCCATCAAATAGGATACACTGAAGCTCCCAAAATGACTGAATATTTAAGGAATATGCTCAAAATGATGCACTAGATATTTAGTATATTTCAGTTCAATATAGCCACAACACCACATAGTATAAACATCACTTAGCTTTGATGAAGAGATGGTGCAAGCTAAAACATAATTTTGATACCTTGTACCTACCTAGTATCTGACACTGTCAGACAGTGTGGAATAAAAACTATTTTTCCAAACATAAAATATTATCACAAAACTGTTAAATAATGTTGTGGTAGATCAACCAAAGAACAGCTTGGTCGACACGCGTCTGTCTGTATGTGGAAGTGCAGTGGTCAGTTTGAGGCAATACTTTCAATATCAGCCACCCTCTGTTTGGCAATTAATCTCCACAGTAAAAGCACAACATTCAACCTTTTTTTGCTGTAATTTTTAGCATACTGAGCGGGATTACAGATATTTTATTTTGAAAAGTTGTGACCTTGGACGTGAAGATTGTGTGGCCTGCTTACTAGATTTCTGAAATAGCCACAAGCAATGTGGGAAAAAAATCTGGTAAATAATTGAACACTGAGTTTAAAAATTGCAGATAAATCGGATATGATAAAAACAAGTTTTTCAAACTTCAAAGCTTTGCAGACAACATCCAGCACATAGACAATAACAAAGTGACAGTATATTGTACAACAGTTTGAGGAGGACTCAATTATGACAAGGACTAATTCTGAGGCTCTGGAGCATTAACAAAGGCCAAGAAAACAGGCAATTTTAAAGCAGGCACTGCTATAGTCTGCCTGGTTGTTTTTCAGCTGCTACATAAATGTAGTCGATTAAAAAGTTAAGGTAACATAAACTAGAAATACTCATAATACAATTTGTATTGAGTTATTTGAAAACCAATGTTCTACCTATGGATATTTTCCTAACAAACAATGTGCAACATACAATATAAGATTAATTTCACACATAGATCTGAACGTTTTAAAATGATTATTGATGATGATTAACATGGCGAATTACTTTTGACAATATTTCCTTGACAACTGCGCTCAGTCCCAGGTAATGATTTCATGATAATCATCACATTTATGGGCCTTTCAGCACCTCATAGAGACGTGAGGTAAAAGGTTGTTACTGCAATTTATTTTAATCCACAGGCTGAAGTAAATGCTCAGAAGGCTTCAAACAATGCTCAGCGCAGCATCAGACAAGTAGAGGAGACCATCACAGACTTCCAGAGGCAGAAACTGGAGGATATCAAAGTTGGTCTCTGTCTCCCATGCACGCACGCACACAAACTGTACATCCCAGATGTACATCCAAAAGGATCAGTGTTTGACGACATTGCTTTGTTTTTTTGGCAGAGGATATTCACAGACTTCATCACGGTGGAGATGCTGTTCCATGCTAAAGCACTGGAGGTCTATACACACACAAACCAGAACCTAGAGGCCATGAATGTTCAAAAGGATCTGGAGGTATTACATACTAATGTGTGCTTACCACAGACAGACTCAGTCAGATAGCAGGTGGTGAATATAGTAGTAGAATTTAATTCAGTTCAGTTTTGTTTTATAGCATCAAATAACAAAAAACATTATCTCACTGCACTTTCCATTAGCTGCTTTCAGACATGCTCTGAAATCTGCAGATTCTCCAGAGTTGTGCATGTGTGAAAGGCAAACTCAGGAGACAGACCCAGTCCTCCAGACATCTTCCACAGGTCATGTCTGAAAACAACTATAGTAGTGTTAACCTTTCAATAATATTGAGAATTGTGTGTTTCCACGATGAGCAAACTTGAAGACACTAAGTGCTGGCGGTTTTTCTCAGGAGGTGGTGGAGACCAAAAACCAAGCTCAAAGAGAGTGGTCATGTATAAACCTCTCAATGCCACAGCATTGCTCTGCATCTGCTTATTTGTAATTAGATGTATATGGCCACATATTGACTTATTATTACTATAACGTGATTATGTGTTAGATGGTGTGAATGCAGTTTGTTATTTTGTGGATTGTTAGGTTACCTGATGGTGAGGGAAAAATACAATTTGGATACTGTGCCTGTGTTTTTTGGAGGAAGCATGTGACTGTCTTCCTGTTTCCACAGCTGTTTAGTGGACGGCTCATGATGTCTGATTCTCTGGCTGGGCATCTGGATACCCCTCTGAGCAGCCACTCTTCTCCCCTCATGAGCCGCTACCCAAGTCCTCCTGCAGCCTTCCCCAAAGGCCAAAGCCTCAGACCAAAGCAGGCTCTCACTAAAGGCCTAAACAGCAGGCAACAACTCAACAACTTCACAGAACCAGCCAGGAGGGTGAGACCTGATATTTCTGTGGAAACATAACAAATCAAACTTTAAGATGCTGTCCAAACTTTACTCATGGAACCTGACCCTTTTCATTTGCAGTCTCGTAGTACCTTACAACGTCAAAGAGGCATGGAGGAAGAGGAACTGGAGGAGGAAGAGGAGGATGATGAAGAAGAAGAAGAAGAAGAAGATGAGATGTATGAATCAGAATTGGAGGAGGCTCAGCACACCAGCAGACAGTCTTATGCTGCTCAATATGCCCAAATGCGCAGATGGCAAAAGTAAGCACCCGTGCATGGAAACACACACAAGCTGACTCATCTAAATGTGCACAGTGCTGCTCCTGGACAGAGGAAAACATTTTGTTGTTATCTAGTTTCCTCCACACTTGAATGTGTGTCAGTAATATGTGTATTACTGTAATATGTACCACCAAATGCGTTGAAATTTGTTTAGTTCATGTGCATAGTAATAGCTGTGCTATTACCTATTAGTTTGCAGTCCCTGCTGCTTAGTCCAGCAGGCGAAATGTTCCAAAAACCAACTTCATCTTGCAAATAATTGATTTTTGAGATAAAAGGAAACAAATACAACAGATGCAGCAAACAATCTCAAATGGTGTCAAAATGTAATGCTATTAGGAAATGGCAGTTAAGGGGAGATGAGAAAGTTAAGACAAGATGTAGAAGAAAACTTTCAGATAAAATTGCATGTGTGATGGACTGTGCAGAGATGAAACACCAATATATGGAAGAGTCATTAGAATGAAATCTTTCTTACGACTTCATGTGCCGAAATGTGGATTTCTAAGAGCTTAAAATAAAAACATTGAATCAGTTATGATTGAATGGCATTACTGGCACTGTGGGTAAACTGGGTTTCATTTTGATTTAATTTTGTGAATGTGTATTTACAAAATATGTATGGGTAGATGGATTCTCAACAGACTTGGTGGTAATATTACTCAGGAGGGTCATCTTGAGATGGTGAATTTTTGTAGCTGATCACTCAAACGTCACGTTTAAGAAAAATATATTAAATATATTCCGAAAGACAAAATTTTCACAAAGAATAAAGTGTAAATCTGTTGCACGATCAGAGAATGATTACCTATCATATGAAATAATTTGATTAAGTCGTGAAGAAATTTAAAAAAAGTGAACAATGTATTTTCCAGGTATTTCTGTGTAATGTAGGAATTAAAGCTCAAGTAGATCTACAAGTAATTCATAGTCTTATGGTATGAATTATGTGGTCGTTTATGATGTCAGAAAATTACATCATATTGTGAATCCATGTACTTTTGCAACCGAAATGATAAGAGACACAATCTACAGTTTATTTACATTAGCCAATCATTCATCATCATATGGTTAAAATTACGTCATGATGACATTATTAAGAGGAAGTGGTATTACAGTATTAAAAAGTTAGCATTGCTTTATTGAGGTACACACGGGGAACACTGGGGAATGCATTGCTTTTCATTCTTAAATAGATCAGGAAACTGTAGCTTTGCACAAGATTAGAAATAGGTTTTTGTTCATCTACTTCTGTAACTGCACATCCATATTATGAATTTGACTGTTGGAGAAAAACTAGCAAAGTGAAAAGGTTTTATATAGTTTTACCCATGAGCAATAAAATATTTGTCCATCAGCAGTAATAATAATCATAATGATCAGTGGATGACCACCTACATCCCAGGGAGCAAATGAAACTCATATCAAAGACTTGGCAAGCCTCCTCCCACTGACCTACTTCTCAGGTATGTTTCAAGATCTCAAGTCGGCTCCACATCATGAGCGAAGAAATGTGTTTGTCACAACAAACTGCTGCGATCCCTCAGTCGTTCGCCTAAAACTGACACAGGCTGTCAGGGTTTTTTTCTTTTCAAATTTACAGTGAATCAAAGTTGCCTCTTTTGACAGACAGCACAAAAGAAAATGTTATATTTTTACTGAATATTTACTGCCATTGTTTTAAAACAGAGGTGTGTAAAGTCACATCTCTACCTACTTTTGGATATATTTTTTAAATTATTCGGAGGACATTTAGGTGTGTAATCCCTATTTCATTTACCCACCTTGCGCCCATGCATGCCCAGCACTTAGTCAATGCAAAAGACATAAACAAATTGCAATAACTAACAATACTAATGATAATGAATAAAAGTTTGCTTTATGTCAAATACTCATATCCACTCTGAATTCTGAATTGACCATTGAATATGATGATATATTTGCATGGCCCATATCATGAACCAAATTTGGCTTGTTAGTAATATATTTATACCACTTGACTCCCACACCTCCCTTACCTTGTAGTACAATCACACACGGACTACACATGACTAATTAAAACCCCCAGGTTCCCCAGGTATATTGAAAAATGCTGAAACTTTAGTTTGGTGTGATTTATACCCCCTTCAGAAGGTCGGCGGCTTGATCTGCCTCGGGCAAAACACTGGCATCTTGGTGAAATCTGTTATTCTGTAGAAAAGCTTTCGTGGTGTCACATTTGTCATTTTTTGTTTCATTACCATAAACAATTAACAAAAAAGAATATCAAGAATAAATAATTACTTCAGTTCACAGCCACATTTGTCAGCTTAGGAATGTTTAATATTCCATATTGTCAGAAGCTAAAACATTGGAACATAAAGGTGAGAGGAGTACATTTCACTGAATGCACTTACAGAGTCATATTACTGGGCTGCATTGATTTGAAAAGAGATTATACCGGAGACCAGATACACAGAGCAGGGATACTGGATATCAGAAGTACAGGTAGATACATAACTGTCTGTTTGTGTGTAAATGTGAGAGAGAGAGAGAGAGAGAGAGATGCTGTCAGCCTAGTAGCACAATATCAGTTTCCTGAATCTGGTTAAATATAGCTGGATTCTTCAAAGATACAAAAAATAAACTTCACAGTAGTTTTCATCACATCCATGCATGTCATTGTAAGTCATCCATGGCACACTTCAAATGGCACTTAAAAAAAATTAAAAAAGAAAGAATAGGTTGTTTACTTTCATTGACATGGTAGGTATGAGGAAGAGTCGAGGATCAGACTCGAGGAATGTGTGTTGCTGGAAAGTGTGGGTTGCTGCTGTTTGTTTGAATAAAAAAGCTCCTTATCTGTAATGAGTTGAATCTTCTTTGGGCTGCATTTATGTTTTTTATTTTTATAAATTGTTTGCTCAATACCACAAATGCACCAGAGAAATACAGAAAGATATCCCGGTGGATGGAGATCACAAAACACTTCAAAACCCAGCTGAAATGATCCCAAAACTATATATTTGCACAGAAAAAAGCACAAGAAACTTTATCTCCTTCCTCGTTTTCCCTTTTTTTCATAAGCAGACATAGAACAAACAAATACAAAACAAATCATCTGGCACTGCGAACAGTTGGCATCTGTCAAATCATAAAACATAAGAACAGTGGAAATGAACGACATGGATTTGTCGACAGGCAACATCTTCACAGAGGCAGCACAGTCAGGAGTCCCACGCTCGCTCGCAGCAGTACAGTAGTAGTATTAGTACCAGTTTGCGCTTGACTGAAGGTATAGTAGCAAGTTAAGCAAGAGTCCATGCTCCCTGTTTGACTCAGTGTCTCCAGGAGACCATTCTCAAGTTTGATTGTTAACCAACCTATAAAGTGCTTTCAAAAATAATCTCCCCATCATCATAATCATCCTTAACTATACAATAAATCAGTATATCAATTAGGGCAATGTTAACGCTCGGAAATGAAGGAGGAGGAATTAAAAAGGGTCTGTTCAGGCACGAGCAGAGAGCTCTTCTCTTTCTCCTCCTCTTTTTCTTTCTCCACAGCTTTCCATTTCTGTCATCTTTTTTTTTTTTACTTCTTGAAGGGTGTCAATCTCCCAATGTTGTGCCAAAAGGTGGAGGCTTTGCGCTTGGGCTCAGCCAACATGAAGACCTGCTGCTGGGGCAAAGCTGTGGGGAGGGAGGGGTGTTTCTGTCGCAGAAGGAAGTCATAGTAGGGCCTGGTCACCGCTGAGGAGAACAGAAAATGTAATTATTTATAAAATGCATAAGTGAAATATCATCGGCTGATAAAAGCTCGCTGAACCCCTGGGTTCATACCTTTGGGTTTTCCAGCTGGATGGCTTTTACAGGCATTCAACATGGCCTGTTTCTTCTGGACCTCTGTGAGAGAGAAGCCTGCAAACAGAAAAAGAAACACTGTCACTCTTAGGCTTCCTCAAGATATTCTTCCTTAGGAAAAACATGAATGATAACTGCTACTCTTGTTTTTATCTAATATGAAATTGGCTGGACATTTAGCATTTGTGTCAATATTTGCCTGAGAAGATAAAAAAGTGAGGTCTACAATAAAATGCGAAAACAGAATTCTACTTTATCTTTACCCAGCAAATGATCAAGAACAGTAGCACACTGGAGGTGGATGAGCCTCATATGTGACGTAAATTATATGCACTTTATTAGTAATGTAATACGAGTCATTGAAAAGACTGCGTGGGAAATTGTATTAAGATAAAGTGACATCATGAAACATAAAACTAAATATACAGTCAACCAAAGTACCTTACCCTGTATACTATGTTTGATATCAAAAATAATATCAATTATTGTCTATAAATATCAATTGAATGTTTGAAAAAAAAGGAAAAATAATGAAGAAACTCCAATCAATAACCTCACCCTAATGTTGAAATTGCATGCTGCAGCTGAACACCCCTCACCTCACCCTCCCCTTCCAAACATGAAAGAGAACCTGTGGTAGCCTTTAATTGTCATAAAAACTCAAAAGGTGTTTAGTTTGTCCAGTCTGGACAACTGTAAAAAACATGGCAGCCTCCGAGAGAGGGTCCCCTCAATGTAAATATAAAGTATTTAAATATAAAGGACCTTTTCTGGGGTAAAGAAAACTACAAGTCATACAATTTAGATGAAATGAACTAGTGAAAACATCATGAGGATTTTTCTACATTAAATTTCTGCCAATAGTTCCCTTTCACCTAAATCTTACACACTGGACCTTTAATAGATGGGTTTCTTAAAATTAAATAAGGGATCACCTACATGGCAAAACTATAAATACTTATATTACTTGAGAATCGGCTGTGGATGGCAAAAAATAATTTTTCAAACACTAACTAAAATGAAACACAGTTTTGATTGATAGAGCACTTGTCCAGGGCTGAAAGCATCTATCTGTATCAAAAACAAAGTGTCATTATTCTGAACTCAAACACAGTGCTTTGACCTTTGAACCACAAAAGATGAATCCAATAGACTGTTCCTCTTCTCACTACAACCTATCAAGTACATAAGACAACTTTAGTCAACTTAAATGATGGAAATGTAACATGAGTCTAAACAAAAAAATCTTTAATTTCCCATAAACTTTTTTCCAAACTACAGACCAACAACAAAATCTGGTGCTGAGGTGGAATCTCTAACAATCTAACACTCATATATGGGAAACCCTATACCTTGACAGCAGGAGGAAAATATTTTCAACACACCTGCTTACCCAGCCACACCCTATAGTTTATCTATGTTGGTGTGAAACCAGGTAGTAGTTAGATCAACACATGTCTCACAGCAGCCTAAGTTCCTGAAGAGATAGTATCTGTACTCAGAGACGATTGTTACAATGAAACGGAGCATTGTCTATCATCTCAATACTGTCCCTCTCTGTTACTCTCTTCAAGACGAGCTGATCTGTAAATGTAATGGTCTGTATTTATGTTTTTCTAGTCTTGATGACCACTCAAAGAGCTTTACAATACAGTTTTGCATTCAGCCATTCACACACAAATTCATACAGTGCATCTATGTGTGGCAAAATCTCAATGAGAAGAGGCAATGTGGGGTTCAGTATCTTGCCCCAGGACACTTCAGCATGCAGACTAGGGAGCCTGGGTTAAGGGCTGCGTGAGTTAGTCAGTAAGACTCATATTAATAGCACGTGCCTATAAATAAAAGGCTGTCATTGACAGGGCTCTGCAATGTCTCAACAGGGAATTTAACCTAAAACTCTGGGATGAAAGTCTGATGGTCTACTGGTCTACTTGCCATACGTGCTAGGGGCACGGCTGGGTAGTATCACGAAATAGTACCTTCTTGTTTACTATCAGCTATATAGGGATACTAGCCTAGCAACAGCTCAGAGACTGTGAACAATATGCTACGATGATAAATTGCTGCCGCCAGGAGCTTCTGAGAAAAAAAAGAGAAACACAGGGAAAGAGCAATACAGGGAGGCTGCCCAAAGACAGACACCCAACAAAAATAACTGGTCAGTGGATACAATGCTGTAACCAATGTGCTTTCACACACACTCGTTTCTGAAATCTCACAAGCTGCACCCTGAGTCAGGTGGAGATCGAACAATACACTAGTGCCACATCAACACAGGTGTTTTACAGGTAAACCGCAGGGCGAGGCACGTCTATGCTCGCTTTGAGAGAGACAACAGAGACACCGCCACCAAGACAACGCTCCCTGCAGACCACCAGCCCCTCTCACTCTCCCCCACTGATGTCCACACGGCACTGAGCAGAATCAAGGCACACAAGGCTGCTGGACCAGACGGCATCCCAGGACGTGTGCTCAGAGCATGTGCGGAGCAGCTCACTGGGATCTTTACGGACATTTTCAACCTGTCCCTCGCCCAAGCAGCTGTGCCAACATGCTTT